CAACTCCACGCAGAAAGGCAGCAGCCGAGCCTCGAACCTGCAACCTTCGTGCTGCGAGGCAACAGTGCTAACCACTGCGCCACCATGCAGCCCATTATAGCCATGTTTGCTGCCCTACAGACACTTGTGAGGCCCAGTCCTTCATAAATAATTATAGACCACAGGACAGAAGCCCAGTTTCTGCTCATTAGCACTACTAGAGCGACAGTCCCTGTAATTGGTCTAGAAAATGGATTTGAGCTCAGGACGGCGCTGCATGCCTGAGTAGCTCCAGTCAATGGTCCCATGGATGCAACGATGTAGACAACAGCAGAGTTCAGGACAAACACCGCTCTCCAAAGGCAGCAGTTTCTCTTCTCATTGCTTTTCTGCTCACATACACCCTCCCTGCTCCTTTTCCCTACATTCTTGCTTTAGTTCCCTACTTTCCTAGCCTGGCCAGGTCCTCTTTACCTGGTACCTTACAGGAATCAACATGTTTAGAAACAGGAAATACGGTCATTATTTGCCCTGCTTGCATTCAGGCAACAAATAAGTTCAAGTGTTCAGCACAAATAGTTCCTGTAAGAAACTGATAAACACCTCAATTAACCCCCATGACCTTTGGAGCAACAAGCCTCCACAATCCCAGACGTCACGCTCCAGGTCCTGGTCCTGGTCTGGCTTCATCTACTAAACGTGAAAACCTGAGAAGCCATTAAAGAAACTGGCTGGGAGAGTCGTGTTAATGATTAGGCTAAATATAAACCAACCTACTTCCTCAGCCCTCCCCCTCTTGCATTTTGTCTGAATTAAATCAGCTGCTTGCTATTTCTGATTCATCAAGAATATCCCGTCTAAGCAGCAACGTCACGCCTAAAGGTACAAAACACGACAGGATAAACACCAGATTACCACTGACTGGTGTCATCTCATCTCGGAAGGAGTTTGCTGTTATGTAAGTATGATGTACTCCAGAAACACCTGATTAAGGTACAGTAGCTCATGTTCTCTTTGTGTTTGCACCAGACCTTCATGATGCCCATTACTGTGTATAAAAATATCCAATTAATGATGAAAGTATCTCAGACCACAGGAAACCTGGATCAAAGCCTTGGGAGAGGACGCTCAGCCTGCTGTTAGTCACACCTGTCACACAGCAGGTACCTCCGCCACACACCTCCTCGGTCAATCACAGTGATCGGTGCAAGAGGATCAATGTAGAACCATTTCAGGTTACAGACAGTAACACAAGGTGCTGTAACTGACCTTGGTGTATCACATAAATACCCCTTCATGCACCAAACACCGTAGCATCCATTACATAAGGTGGGTTTATACCAATGAAACGGTTCAGTCCTGATTCCAGCCTCAGAGGGAATTGGCTGAACTCGACTAGCTCTGGGTGATCTGGTGAGCGAGTGAGTAGAAGAGCTCAGTTCCAACTAAAGAACTGCTGTACCACAGGTAAAGTCAGCCTTTAGTCGGCTGAAGTCCAGGTGAGTTCTTATGTCCTGATCCAGAAACCAAACCCAACAATGCTGATTTGATCCCATTTGAAAAACAAACACGTGGAAATGGTTTAAAACTCTCAACTTGACCAGAAACTTTCTCCTATTCATACAAAGTTGTAACCTTTGAAACGTTTCCACTTAAACACTAATTCAAAGCTTCGCACGCCACTCTTTCTGTATGCTGTGGAGCTATTACACACGCCCACACACCTGAGCTACCTGTGCAGCAGGCATCTCAGAACAATAATATCTATCCATCCATCTGCTGAACCCGCTTTGTCCACGTGGGGTCGCAGGGGGGGCCTGGTGCCTATCTCCAGCGGTCAACGGGCAATTAGGCGGGGTACACCCTGGATAGAGAGCCAGTCCATCGCAGGGCAACACAGAGACACAGGACAAACAATCATGCACACATACACTCACACCTAAGGACAATTTAGACAGACCAATTAACCTAACAGTCATGTTTTTGGACTGTGGGAGGAAGCCGGAGTACCTGGAGAGAACCCACGCATGCACAGGGAGAACATGCAAACTCCATCGAACCCAGGACCTTCTCGCTGCAAGGCAACAGCTCTAACCACTGCCCAACAATAATATCCATCTATTTATCCATTTTGGTGTTTTTTACCCCATTTGTGGCCAGGAAGGCATCGTTATGATGTTCTCCCCACAATAACAGCTTGACCAGAAGCTGACCATCCAACTGAATTATAATCAAATCCCCTGTTGGGTGTCTCTACAGTACATTTCTATCATTGTTGTTTGTATTCCTGTATCAGGGGCGTGTCCAGGGAGTGGCCTGGGGTAGCAAATGCCACCCTTGGAATCTGATTGGCCACCCCAGGTGCCACCACACAGAATTCCCTTTAGATAGGCTTTTCATTGTCCACAAAAGACTTGGGGTAAAAAAAAAAAAGCATAACCATTGGTGCCACCCATGCACAAAGTGGTGCCTCACCTGGGCCACCCCATTTTAAAAGATCTGGGCACGCCACTGTCCTGTATGAAACTGCAGTAGGACCTTACCATCAGTGCACTCTTCATAGTACCAGTCCAGCTCATAGTAGTCAGCCTTGACGAACCTCTGGCCTCTGGTTTGGCCTCGTCGCTTCATCCTCACTGCTCTTGCAGACAGACGAACCAAAGTCCCAGCATGTTGGCGCTAACAGCCGTGGTACATTCAGCGATGCCTCGTGGTAAGAGACGGTCAGCTCTCACTAACTTATAACAGATAGCATCCATGTTCGGCAGTGAGCCGGTAGGAGTCTTCGTGCTCTCGTCACATGTCCTTCCTGGTGGAAGGCACAGCAGTAGCTTATGCTCAGCCTGCTGGTGCCATTTTAGCACCTCAGCCTACAGAATCGTGTCATCAGAAGCAGAAATAAAACAAAAGCATCACTTTGTTCTGTTTTACTCCATCAACAATATCTTTACCATTTCATAAGAACATGCTATCTTCTACGAGTCTCTTCATGTCCTGTAGTGTGTCTTCTTCCTGCCAGGCAGTTACCTTCAAAGCTTCAAAGCCAGATTATTTAATCCCTACGTCCATTTGTAGCTTCATGTCTTCTGCTTCTTAGCTGGTCACCTCGGTCCAGCACTGACCCTCTTCTACCCCGTCACAACATCCCTTCCTCAGTGGCAGCTCTGACTCCACACATAAAGCAAAGCATCTCCTAGAATGACTCAATGAACCTGGAGACAGCGAGGGCTGAAGCAGCAGCAGTCACGGGTTTTGCAGCAGAAATGATGCTGATGATGAAACGTGGGCTGGGTGGGATTAGAGGCAGCCGACAGCCAATGGAAGAGAGGAAGTACCACTGGAGTGTTCCCACCCCCCCCCCCTCCTCTCCTCTACTTTGTCCTTCTGAGCGGTTGCTATAGTAACAGGCTCAGACTCCAAGGCCTTTCAGAGGCAGCTAGCAGAGGAGCTGTGTAGCGTTGGCAGTGGTGACGTGGCTAGAACCAACACACCATGCTATCTATGGAGTGATGAAGCATGTGCACCTGAGGCTAAAAGCTCCATTCAGCATCAACATAAACAATATCATAAAAACATCAACACACAGTAGGACGAGGCACCGCCTGAACACTGACAACATCAACACAGAGATGCAAACTGCAAATGAGACTAAACGATGATGGACTTCACACACAGGAAAGCATTTGTGATCAATTTACTGCTAATGAGCCAGAAGAAATGGTTCTGTTAAAGAAATAAATAGTTTAGGTTGTTAGAACCGGGGTTCTGTGAAAAGGTTAGGAACATTTAAGTATGAATTTAGAGAAGCAGACATCAGCTAACTAGTTACTAAGTCAGAGTCAATTTTTAGTCCGTTTCATTCAGTCTCAAAACTTTCACAATAATTTAGAGAAATGCTGTTTTACAACATTACAATGAAAGTCATGTAGCACGGTTCTTCCAGTATAATGACTAGGAACACAGTCAAAAGAACTCCACAGATTTTGCAAATACCCCGTTTTATAAAAACTATATTCATAAATGTGTCAGCAGACATTTACATGAGCTGATTTGAACTGACAACAGAAGCATGTGGTAACTTAGCCCACTCAAACTAACCGTTAGCCTATCAGTCTGCTCAGAACTGATCTGTTCAGGCTGTTGAAGGGGCAACTGACACGAGATTAAATCGATAAAAACTGATATAGCTCACAGAAAAACACTTAAAAACAGGAGCTGTCAATTCAAAAGAGGCTGGATTCCTCCCAGCTTAAACAGCATTGACATACGACCACCTTTGTCCCTCTTCCTGATGGCTGGTGCAACATTCCAGACACCTGAAGCTTGATGACTAGACAGACGCTCACATGACCCAACACTGCTCATGCATCTTGGGCTAGGGCCAGCATCTGTCTGAGGAGCAGCGTGACATCAGAAGGATCAGCACAGCCAGCGCGATGCTTCTTAAGCTCCTGATGTAACATGATCCTGTTGCACAGTCACCTGACTGACTAGGAGTGTGTTGCTACGTGACCGTGCTGCCACAGAGCGCTGAGGTGATGTTTAGCTTTGCAGTTACAGCTAAGAAGCTAAATCTAAGCTTAGAAACTGCTCTTTTATATCTGACATCACAACCGGAGTCCCTATCCACGCTGGGGGAAAATAAATAAATAACACAAAGTAAAGTAAATAAATGCACTTACACCCCCTGGGTTTGCTGTTCGTACGTGCTTTTGCTTGTTTCATTCTAACCGTGTGTGTGTGTGTGTGTGTGTGTGTGTGTGTGTGTGTGTGTGTGTGTACAGCTGAAAGACTGACAGCCATGAGGCGGTCTGATAAGTCCAGAGCAGACGTGAGCACGCTGAGTGTGAGCGAAAGCTGAACATTAACCCGAAGGTTGCTTGTGTCACGCTGACGGTCTGTCGCGCCCATCTTGGCGTCTCTGAATCAGAGTCCAATAAAACTTCTCGCTAGCTTCCGGACAGTTTGTGTTTTGTTACAAAAGCTGTTATTACAGTTTGAAAACCGTGTGTTCAACTTACAGAAGTATTTAAGGGTCTCTTCAATCTGTTCAGTAGTCAGGTCGAGAGCGGCGTCTGGATCCACGAACGGCGTGTGCAGCCAATCATCTTGCTCATAACCAAAGATGGAGTCTGCCCTGAGCTTGTAGACGGGCAGCTGCTCCTCCAATATGCTGATAATCTCAAGTTCAGGCAGGTCAGTCCCGTTACACACATCTGCAGAAAGAGAAAGAAGGGTCCTGAGCTGAAGCAGGGGTTTCCTCTCTTTAAGGTCACCACAGACTGCTAACACAGGCAACGTCTGGGGTTAAAATTTCACCACCTTGTGACTGTTTACTCTAAATCTCCACCCCATAGAAAGGTCTCTTTAAATGTAAAATGGAAAATTTGATGGAGTGGCGTGAGACACTGAAGGTTGGTGAGGCCCTCTAGTGGAGAACTGAGGCCATATCTGGGCTCTCCAAGCTGAAACATCTGGACCACCTTCGGGTTTTTTGTTTCTTTATAAGCCGATTCCAAAAGTCAGAAAGAGCAAAGTCACACACAAAAGGGCCAAACAGCAGGGTCATGATTCTCTCGTGTTTATGAAGTATTTCTAGTTACTTGATTTTGTTATCAGCAAGCACACATCAGAAAAAGGGAGCTGAGTAACTACAGACAGCAACCACCCACACTGAGGCCAACTCACTGCCTGGCTAAACAAAACATGGCCTCCTGCGTTCAACTAAGCAGATAGGGACAAGTTTCCTATCGAGTCCTTCCTAAGAGAGGAATGAGGTCACCTGACTATCAGAGTAAACAGCAGGTTTTCCCATCAATGAATTTTCTCCCCTAATGGCACGGGCATATTCCGCTCTTATTGTGAAAGAGGTTCAGGAAGCATGACACATCATCTTCACACAATGAGCATGTTTGGGATGGACTTTGTACAATGGTGGACTATCTCATCACTGCAGATGAATTTACCCAAAACAGCTTTTACTTTTTCAGAACGTGTAAACCTAGAGAACACACATACATGCATGGGGGGAACATGCAACCTCACAGGAACACCAGGTGGACCACCATGCAGACAGTCAATAAAAGATCTGGGTGAAAAATGAATCCAACACTAGATGGAAATTTGTATTAAAACGGTGACACAGTGAATAAGTGCAGTAATCAAAGCTAACAGCGCTCCAATCAGTGTGACTTGTTTGTTTACCAGGTAGCCAGAACAAGCCTATCCTTACTAAACGACAACTATATTTTCATAGTTTTCGCCAAATTCTTTGAAACTGTTTAACATCAGAACTAAGCAGGTGAACGGACAGAAGTTGTGTTTGTGTCACACCTGAGATCGGCTCCAACTTTCTCTTTTGCTACTCAGATTTATTCATGTTTCTCACTGATGCCTTTGATACTGTAAACACCCATCTTCTGGGCCATCTCCACTTCTGTTTCAGTTTAAGGTAATTAGTCTTCACTTTGAGCAGCCATTGCCAAAATGTATCCTGTGCACCACAGGAGGGAGCCCGCGTAGCACCACAGTTTGAAACTATTAGAGGCGATACAACAATACATGGCCCAAATTATTGAGTTTTCAGAGGCAACTCACCAGTAAAAACAGAGCTCCATAATTCTGCTACACTACTTCTTTTACTGCTCGCACGTCGGTACTGAGGGGCATGCTTTGTCTGAATTTTGTGAAGCCAAACCAGAAGTGACAATTGCAGTTCCACCCTCATCCACTAAGGGTTGGCACCAGAAGTGAGGAAATCCTCATTGACTCCCATGTTAAAAACACCAAAAGCAGAAATAAACTAGTTAGCAGCCTGGTTCCAAAAACATTTTAGGTTTTATAGGTCTAGTTTACAGTCATGACAACTCTGAGGGAGTACCTTTTTTGTAACTCTTTTGTTTAGGTGTCATTAAATGCCTAAAATTAAGAATAATTATATTTGATTGACAGGTAGCTTGAGCGTCAGAGCTAGTGCTAGCAGCTAGCTCTGGGGAAGGCCTCAGGGTCTGATGTCTGCAGTCTGATGCTGTGTTTGTATTTTAAGTTATTGGTTAGCTCCTAGCTCCGTGTTAGCTTTGGGTTAGCTCAGTTAGCCCGTAGCTACATTGGTTCGGAGTTTGATGGGTGTCAATCATTTGCTCCCACCCTCACCATCCCACTCTTGCTCTATGGGGTGCCATTTGTAAAGTCAAACAATCATGATCTAACAGCAATATTTTTGGTTATTTAGCATATCATAAGAGAAAAAATTAGGAGTTCACTTTTTTGAAGTGATATTTTCATCATGTTATTCATACATTCATAAATGTTAAAGTTTCCAAATAAATATTTAGTTAGCAAGCTAAATATTTAATTTGTAGTTAAATATTTATTTTGCAAACTAAATATTTAGGTCAGATCTAAATATTTAGTTTGTAAACTAAATATTTAGGTCTGATCTAAATATTTAGTTTGTAAAATAAATATTTAATTCACTAACTAAATATTTAATTTACGAATTAATTATTTATTTTGGAACTAAATATTTAATTTGTAAATTAAATATTTATTTTCAGAAATAAATATTTAGATCCCAGCTAAATATTTATTTTGGAGCTAAACATTTAGTTTGCAAAATCAGTATTTGGGAAATATATATTTAAGTCTGACCCAAAAATATAAAATATATTGTGGAGCTAAATAACATCGTGGAAAATAAATATTTAGCTGGTACTTAAACATTTAGCTAATATATATTTTTTTGGAAAATAAATACTTAATTTACAAATTAAATATCTAATTTACAAATTAAATATTTAGTTCCAAAATAAATATTTAATTAGTAAATTAAATATTTAGTTAGTGAATTAAATATTTATTTTACAAACTAAATATTTAGATCAGACCTAAATATTTAGTTTACAAAATAAATATTTAACTACTAATTAAATATTTAACTTGCTAACTAAATATTTATTTGGAAACTTTAACATTTATAATTGTATGAATAACATGGTGAAAATATGACTTTGAAAAAGTGAACTCCCAATTTTTTCTCTTATGATATGCTAAATAACCAAAAATATTGCTGTTAGATTATGACTGTTTGACTTTACAAATGGCACCCCATATTGCTCCACCTCTATTTGGTGGTAGTGTCGACACAAGTCACATGGCCAAGATGGAGGTTGTGGGAGCAGCTCTTTTGGCTTCAAACAGGGTTTTTCTCAATGCCAAGGGACCTTGCCTTGATGTCTTGGCCCCGCCCCGGTTGCCTAGGAGATACGTCATCAGGAACCACCCAGACATGTTCCAATGTTCATGTTCTACCGAGGCGTGTGTTTTCCGTTTGTTAGCTGTTTAGCTAGCTGAGCAAGGATACACGGGAGGTGTCTTGTAGCCTAGCCTTGGTCAAAAATTACCCAGAATATGTCGCGGTATTTTCAAAAGGGTGGCAGATTAAAAGCTGGCAGCTACTTCCGGGGCAATTTTCAATTTTAAACGTAAGTCAACTAATTTAAAATGTTTTTTTTTTTAGATCCAAAGAAGTTATCTATGGTTGGTTATTTGCTTATTAATTGCAGCTTCTGTGGCTAGCGGGTAGTAAGTCGCTTATATATTTAAATCAACAAATATATACACAATTTAAAAAGTAAAAGGTTGGTTATATATTTATATTGAAACTTATACTTAATAAATATAACATTATCTCCCGTGTCACGTGACAGTACATGGCCGCCGTGGAAACCGCGGTTACATAATGCAGGTCTGTTCCATTTAACCGTTTTCTTTGACCAAGGAAGGATAGTGTCCTTGTAAGCAAGGCGCCTGGCCTCGCACGACATTGCCTCGCAAGGCCAGGTGCCTTGACATTGAGAAACACCCAAGCCCTTAAGAAAGCTATGGGTAACGTTATGGAGGGTTTGTCCACCATTTTTCATTGGCAGTCATTGACCGGTATATGTATTTGGCTTCATTCTGTACACATTCTTTTTGTTCACACAGAAAACTCAGACTTAGGCTATGTTTTCTATAGAAACAAAGAAGTTCTTGGATCAACAGAATCACAGAAACCCACCGCCTATTTCTCTACCACTTCCTCACAATGCTGTCTCTTAGTTGGCTAATCCAGACTGAATGAGCAACTGTGCTGAACACACACACACACACACACACACACACACACACACACACACACACACACACACACACACACACACCGTCCTTACTATTCCCACCACGAAATACCATTTTGTTGTGGGAATTCTCATTTGTCTGTTATTGAAACCTTTCTGACCAACAGAATCATCATTCCTATTCTATTTGATACTTCAAACCGATTATACTACAGTGGAAAACATAAAAACGTAGTTTGCTGCTGGTTACCAAGGCAACTGTGTGAGGTTAGCAAACAAACAGAACATGTGTGTAGATGGGTTGTAATCTGGAAAGGGTTTCAGTTTTAACTATTTCACCCTGATAACAAATGTGAATGTTAAAGGTTCAGAAATAAGAACTCTATGACAGTCAGAGGTGATTACACATTACAGTGATCATTTTGTCTAGAACGTTCTAAATAGAAGAAAATGACAAGATAAAAACAGCCTTAACTTCAGCTGTGATATGATGGGAAAGCCTTACAGCTCAAAATTCAGTCAGAGATTATCCCATCAGAGTAAAATCTGCTAAATCCATAAATACTATCCTGTAAATGCCACTAATGACACCGAAAAGCTCGATCGGTCATGTAAACAGACTTTTTTACCTTGAATGACTGTTTAATAATGTCTGTCTGAGCTTTGCAGCTCATTAAAGGCCCAGGTTTCCTTTTCGGTTTTGTCTAAATGAATTTGGCCCGGTTCGCAGCGAGATTTTCAGAACAAGACCGACCCCACACAGAGAAAGGAGCTCTGGTGAGTGGCGTGTATACACCAACCGTGTAAACAAACATGGCGGACAAAGACCTGGCTCCATGTAGCATGCTTCCACCACCTTGCTTTCTGATTGGCTACACTTCAAATTCAACAGGCAGTCCTGACATCCTCCACACCAGAGCGCCCTAGACATGCAGGACTATCTGATGAGATTATCTTTGGACAGTCGAGCGCGTCCTAAAGGTTGTCGGAGGGGGAGAGTCTGGGATTAATGATCTTGCCGTGTGCTATGTGTGTGTGAATCTGTGGGCTTTTATGCTGCAGGGGGAAGTCCAAAGCAGGGATTGGAGCTGGCAGCATGATGAGAGAACAACTTTAATACCACAGATCTCATCATCTGTGTGTCAGTCGGACCAGTAACCAGCACTCGACCTTCAGTGACGTGTAACACTAAATTAGGGAACAGGAGAGAAGAATGCAAGCCGGTCTCCAACTAAACACATGGTGCTGGTGTCAGATTACTGGATGAGACCCCTGCAATGTTGTTCTGCATAACAGCGATTAAAGTTTAACACCAATCTGGTTGAACCCCGCGGTGCAGAGATAGATCACTAAATGACAACATCAGATTAGGCTTCCAATGGAAATAAAACGAGTCTTTGTCATGCAGGCAGAAAGACTCAGCAAACAGAGACAGGCTACAGTGAGCGCAGGTCAGGATAAACTTTAAAACAAATCAGCTAAAGCTGCCAGAAATGGTTCTGGGATCACGGTACTTACTCATGGTGCCTGAAGCCCGACAACCAACGTTCTTCAGTCACATTTTCCACTGGGAAACAGAGGGGACAGAGAGGACAGAGGGAGAGAACCAGGAGGGTGACAAACAGGAAGAGCAAGAGAGAGAGAGAGAGCAGTAAAGTTTTAGAGGACGACTGAGTGTGTGAGACAAAAAGGGAGGAAAGGAGGGAGGGGTGAGTGGAGAGGAGAGACCCGAGCCAAACTGGTCCGTCATGCCTGACATGCCGCCGCCGGTGACGAAAACCACAGGGGCCGTCCCACCCTCCCAGCTTTAGAGCTGGTGGGGGTGCTGCGCTCTCTAACAACGCTGATCTTGTACAAACACCCAGAGCAGAGCAGGCCTAGCAGAGCTAAACTCAAACAGGTCCTTTTTATCCTCTTCCATCGCCACAGCAACAGGTAACCCCAGAGCTCCACCAGGACACTTTTAGTTTGACCATAAAACCCTTCAAAAACCTGCTTTTGGCACAGGAAGACACCCGAAGACTTCTGAGTTTTAGAAGCACAACAAAAACTAAAGAAAGGCAGAAATTCTCCTCCTCTAAATCATCCAATGAGCCACTGTTTGGTTCAGAAATCTTTCAATAGGTTTTGAAGCAACAGTGAAGATAGAACAGATTTTTGCACGACCATCACAACATTATGTTTATCAGTCATCTGAACCTGCTGAAGAGGGTGAAGGACATAAATCAAACAAGTCATGTTCTCTTCAACTGGGATTTCTGTTAAAACAAGAACATATTCTGACAACTGCATGAGTTTTACTTGTTATAATGAGGTCCACACTCTGGGTTGTGAGGACGGAGACATGATGGGACATGCGTCCAAACACCCCATCCTACCTGATCACTGGTAAAAACATGAGCTGACTTAAACAAAACTATGTGTTTTCTGCCAGCTGCTTCTCTCCTCCCATAATTGACTCATTCAGTATGACATCACTGCTTGTGTTTAACCACAGAATAACAACCTCATACCCAGGAAGTGCACCATGGCAACAGCCTGTCGCGCTCATTCAGCCTCTGGATTTAGTGGCCGAGTCGTAGAATCTCAGAGAACAGACAGACCCTTCAGAGGATGAGTGAAAGGCAGCCGGAGCCAGGATCTGGATGTTGTTATCCTATCTTACCAGCAGGAGTCAGTACTGACTGAGTCTTATTAGCAATGGATTTGTCCACTTCCTCACTTCAGCATGGTATTTATAGAAGTTTATTTTTACAAAGCTAGACATTTATTCATTTATTCTTTATTTATCCAGGAAGAAAATTCACTGAGATTATAAAACATATTTTAAATCGTGTCTTGGCCAAGATGAGCAGCAAAAACAAGCCAATACATTTCCAACTGCAGTAAAAAACAGAAACATTCAAAAAACACTAGAAAAGATTAGTGACAATACCATGTTTGTGTCCATTTAAAGGCCAACTTTACTTTTAATACATCTGCAGTGGTCTCTAGTAGGAATGAACGCCTAGTAAATCGTTCTTTGGAAGAAAAAAAGCTCCAGTGAACCCGTTTTAGGAAGTACATGGCCCAATCTCAACACCCGCCCTGCGCCCTACGGTCTACTGTGAAGTGCACTTGGAAAAAGTGTGCAGTAAGGATTTGAGTGTGTGGTACATTCGTGTGAAAATAATAGCCTAATTGAGACAGGGAGTAATGCGTCATTGACCGCAATGCATGCAGGGATGCTGGTCGCTGTGCTACTTTAAAAAAAAACTTTATTAACAACTTTCAAACAAGCAACCAAACAATTGTTTGAAATAAATTTCCATTCTTTGTAGCTTAGTCTAAAACATTCAGAGGATTGTGGGTAATACCCTTTGTCCAAGTCTGCATCGATGGGTTAAACCACCTCAGCTCACCTCTCCCCCAAGGGATGGGTCAAGTGCGGAGAACAAATTTCACTGACAAATGGGATTTTACTCTTTCTTAGAGCCCTCCGGGCTGTCACCAAGCTACTGTTCTAATTGGCTATCTGGCTATCTGCATGGCCTACCATCTGACATCCCCAGTTTCATTCGTAAGTGCACAATTAGGGATAAAAAAACGTGTCATAAGTATTCCTTTGTCATGCGATTTCTCCATTTATAGCAGGTTAAATGCAGTTGGGTGGTTTTAGCTTCAGACAGTATGTTTATTGCAGCATGCAGTTCCTGTGGTGCATTTAAAAAACCCTACCATATGGGAAAGCTGATACACTGATGTACACAGCAGCATTATGCAACCTTTACTTGGTAAACTGACACATCTTTATGAGTTAGCGTCAGTGAAACCCTGAGAAACTTCAGTGAACCTCAGATGAACGACCTCACATTCCTGCAGGATCCTGAGAAAAAAGGATCTTTATAACTTAAAAAGAAAGATGAGATCTATCCAAGACATAAATAGCTACAGAGGCTTACCAAAGTGATTCCCTGTGGACGAAAATGTGAAAACAACTTTGTTAGTCAAATAATGAAAGGAAGTGAAACCATGCACATAGCTAGGTGGGGGAGAGGTTTCCTGTTTGTGGGTAGGAGAAAGAAATGACCTCAGTCGCTGCCGTCTTCACAAAGACCCTAATGAGTGAGACGGAGCTCTTCTGGTTTCCTCAAGTTTCTTACATGGATTATTCAAGCTTCAGTTTGTGCTAACTTTAGGTTTGAATGTGATTAGCATTAGCATTTTCTCCACCACACATAGTTCCAAACTACAAGTGCAACTGTGGAAATATTACAAACTCAAACAGCTGGAATGGATCAAATTAAAAACGAAGAAGTGGCTAACCGTTTTCTGTACAGAACAGTTTCCTGGCGTCCTGTAGCGACGGTGGAGATTACCTGCACCTCCAAAAGTCAACAAAAACTCTAATTCTCCACTGCAGCATAAGATAAGGGAGTGAGGGATTGACCTCTTCACCCTCAGCACTCTGGCTGAAATCAGTTAGATGAACTCAACTTTTTAATGTGAAGGAAGCTCTGCTACCACTGCTTTGCAAAACTACTGAAACCTCTAGATGACATCAGACCTTTCCACCTGCAAAGAGGCAACAGCCATTTTTCATTCAGATAAAGGTTTTCATGTGTGATACCATACACCTCCCAGTTGTAACCAGGTATCGGGAACAACTTTTAATAGTTATGGATTTCCTATGAGAAGCAAAACGCCTAGTGGTAGAGTGTCTGCCCTGCCCCTGACACAAAAACACAAAGTGTTGTGAGCACAGGATCGTAGGACATGGAGACAGAGGATTCACTTTGGTGACTAGAGGTGGGGGCTAAACGGAAACATTTACAGAAACCGCAATTTAAGACTACAGCCAACATCATTTGGCCCATGTTGGTATATTTAGCGTTTTCTTAGGGGAAATATTTGTAGGTTTCTGATGTTCGTGTCCCTTAAAGATGTCGAACAAAGGACTAGATGGTGTGGAGAAATGTGACGCTCCACCATCAACTAAAAGTACTTCGTACTTTGATTTTTTTGTTTGTTTTTAAATGAAAATAATTGCAAAAATAGCTCTAGGGGAATTATACTATCAATCAAACTCCGATACCCAGCAGTCCTATCACTGGCGCAGCCACACCACGTCACCAGCCAAACTCCATATAAGGAAGTGCCTCCCGCCAGATCAGCACTCAGTCGTCGGTTGATTCAAATCTTGTCAACGAGCTCACAGGCCCACCAGCCATCTAGACCCACAATCATCGATCCACGCTGTCTACTCTCAGTAAGTCGGCCTTTCCGTCTTTCCGGAACCGCGACTCCATCTCGACGCTGCCCAGCATGGCGTCGCAGTTCCTAGATCAAACTGCGTGTTCTGTCAAATCCAGCGTCAGCTACTCCGTGCTAGGGTCATACAGTCACGCCACAAGCAAACTCCCGCTCCAAGCCAGCTCAGCCTCCCCGATCCTGACAACCCTACTCTGGATAAGGGGCTGAAAATGAATGGATGGACTTTCCCATTTTAATTTGATTCATGATTTTCTACTAAATTATCTTCGGCACAATAATCACAATGTAGAGTAGCGTTTACAAACATAACTGAAAACAATATCACACCATAAAAATATTAAAAGCTATTAAAGAATGAATGATAAGAATTACTTTCAAATGTGTTTATCAACAGGAAACATGCGTGCAGTTTTCCCCAGTATTGTTTTACTAATGCGGCCCACCAAACCGACAGAACGCTGTGATTGGCAAACCACCAGACTGGCCAGGGCTGTGGAGCTTTCAATGCAGCGTGGACAGACCGACATCAATGACTGTAGAAAAATATAAACAAAGCCTCTGTGATGGAGGTTTCTGAGGCTTTGACTTGAAGCCTAGTGGGCAGTTCGGATCACTGCCATCTTGGACATGTCACACATCTCGACACTCCCAAACATTACGAAAATGGACAAGAGGTGGAGCTGAGAGCGGAATTTTGAGGATCTTAGTGCGGCAATTCTTGCGGTTACAAGCTAACTGAGCTAACCAAAGCTAACGCAGGTTTGTGAGTGCTTTACGTAGAAAGATGTGGTTGAGTGACTCTAAAGTGTAGAATGCATCAACTCACCAGCTGCAGAGTTTCTGTGGTCTCCCTCAGAGAGCTCCACAGATGACAAACACAGCTTCAGACGGCAGTGATCGGAGCCAGGACTCCCGAGCCGCGTGAGCCCACGCTCCACTCCTCCACAGCCATGACTCACTGGGCCGCCGCTGCAGCCAGAACTCCACTTGTACTACTGTCTGTCTAGATTTCTAGGCTAGCTTTAACATTGAATGCTGAAGCTTTTTGCATTTGTACTCCGAATTGCCAAAACTCAGCAATGGCGTGTGCCATGAGAAAAAATCTTTTTAAAGATGAGAAGTTGCTCTTTCAAGTCTGCAAAGTGTTATTCCCGTAAATCCCTGTCAGCTGTTGCAAGAAGCTGAGGAATTAGCCTGTCCATCCATCTCACAGCTCAAACAGTGTTGAATGAGGGACAGATGAAGAGTCATTAGTACATTATTGTTCGAAACACTGAATTTAGCACCACGAAAAAAAATAATTCACTGGAAAACTAAAATCCCAGTCCTTACAAGCTAAAACTGCCTCACTGCACGCTGCCTTAACACCATTAAAACCTGGGAAAACCCTAGATGTGTAAAATAATTGACTGAACCAAAGCAAACAAATGTTGCTTTGCTGATCACATGATTGTGTTGTCTAATATTGTAATTTTGATCCAAAAACAAAAGATCCTTCAGCCTTATCACAAATCAACAACACAAAAAATTGCTCAAAGCAATCTGGGTCTCGTGCAATGCTGCTCCCTTCCTTCCATGTGTTTTCTAATCTCCTGAGAAGATCCTAGCAGACATCACTCCAACAGCTCCATCCTCCAAGAGACAGACGGATAAACTCTCAGTAGCATTCAAAAAAGATCCATATTTTTATGTACAAATGAAACAACAAATACATTTATACAAGTGTTTTTGTATCTTCCATCAAATAAGTCTGCTCACTTTAAGCTCAGTTAAATGACTGGTCAGTATACACGTTAATTAAATTATCAGCAGTCATCACAGGAAACAAAGGAGGGGAAACTGTGATTAAAATCCCCTTCCAGTTCAGCAGGTCCCTTCCCCCGACAACTAAGAAATGGGATTTGGGTAAAAAGGGTTCGGCTCACAAACAAAGTCGAGAAAGGCTCGAGCATGAACAAAAGGCAGTGCCCTGTTCAGTGGGAGTGATGAATGGAGGGTGGAGAGAAAGAAGAGGAGATGGGAGGAGGAGCTGACAGAACCGCTCCCCTGGGAGCTCTTCTCTCTCACATGGAGGACGTCCCCTGGAGCTCCTTTACCAACAGGATATGACATCAGAACAAGGTCACAGAAGGGGGCAGGTTCTCACAACTCCACATGGCTCACCCTCATACACATGATGCTCCAAAGCCACTGGATATGAAGCAGCGATTCACTTATGGCCGGTGACCAATATTATTACCCCCTCCCCCGGTTGTTAATGTCAGCCCAGTTTTTCTCTCCAGACCGACACAGACAGGTTAAACAGCTAGCATGGGTCAGATGCTAATCCCTAGTAAAGGTTGTGACAGATCTTCTGGTGTGCACCTTGTAGAGCTCTGTAGTGCTGCCCAATAGACTTTGGACAGGTAGGTTCTAGAAAACTCTGCTTCTGCAAAGCCAAACGGACTCACATGAGTTATCTAATAACATTTGCGTGTAACATTACCAGTAATGGTCTCAGCATCTCTACAGATGGCCGTGATCTTCTGAAGTGCACTCGGCAGACTCCCCTCACTGACATACTCCTCTTCTTCCTCCTCTTCACAGGCCAATGCGAGTCCTGGATTGAGGAGCTGACATGTGTGCGTGTGCTCAGAGGATGGTTCGGGGGACGGGGCGGTGGAACAGGAACAGGTGTGGGGAGTCTCGGTCCTTGGGTCCAGCTTGGCGCTGGGAGGTTACTGATTTAAAGCAGCACCAGCCATGGACAGAACTTAGATCCACAGACAGAGGACCAGAGTCAAGCGACCTGCATCTCGAGACCGGATGAGTGAAAAACGACAGCCTGAAGAACCCGGACGAGACCCCAGAGGCAGCTGGGAAACCAGAAACAGTTGCTTGTCTGCTGATTAATTCACTTCATACCTGAAAGAGAAAAAAAGCAGAAATTACACGTTTGCATCACGTTTGAGTCTGTTACTGAGACATCGGTCTGGATCAGCTAGTCACAATTGTGACACTTAATGAACACGAGTATCTGTGCTGATAGAGATGAGTTCTCTTTGCTGTGATCAGCTGATCAAACACATTTTTTTCTACATCCGTCCATCCTCTTCCGCTTATCTGGAGTCAGGTTTGATTTGTACAGTATGATAGGGCTGGGCAATAAATCTAAAATGTATGCATACCTGTAGTTATCGTCCATTTATCGTTATCGAGGCGACATCCTCAACAAATTGTGATATTGATTTTAGGCCATGTCGCCCAGCCCTACAATATAATTAAAATAGGTTTAAGGGGTTATTTGGTAAATGAAGGCGACGTGTCAATCAAATGCTAAATGGATTAGCGAGGGCTTTTATGGGCGGGTTGCTTCAGGCTTTAACCCAGCCTTAAACTGAATAAGGGGCCCCTTTCCCCAGCGTGGTGACAGACAGGAACTTGGCTGTTTCTATTTATGGCAGCCCTTTAAAAGATGAGATCTTTACTTGCTTTCAAATCTAATATCATTAATATTAACTATATTCATCCTCCATCATCTATTTGATTCCCACATTTCATCTTTTCCCATCCCAGGTTCTTCTGAGTCAGAATAAGTGGAACATTCTGAAAAACAGGCAGTAGGTCAAACATTTCCATTATTTAGAAGCACAGACATCCAAACAGTGTTGCTAATGGCAACAAAACATATGTTTGCTTCGCAGGCAAAGTTCCAGTTTCTGTTTTAGGTCAGATAAAAAAAGGAAAAACGAGTAAATCCAGGTCAAAAATAGGGAAGAACTTGTGATAAAGTAGCTATTTCATCATAAGGGCAGGTTAAAATAAAACAAATGTCTGGGTTCGGGATGTGTGTGTACAGGTTCATACATGTTAGCATTATGGTGGCTGAACAGCTTAAAGGCCGTAACAAAATGGTGAATCATACCAGGATCGGCTCTGCGGTTTTCTCTTTTAAACCTTTTTCATTCCTTTCTTTCCCTTTTTTTTAATCTGCTTCTGGATTTTTACATCTGCATGGCACAAATTTTTTCCCTTTGCACACTGCAGCACACAACTTGCGCACGCACACACACACACACACACACACACACACACACACACACACACACACACACACACACACACACACACACAGAGAGAGACTCCATACGCAGACGCAAACACATAGATTCCATACACAGTCACACAGATAAGTAGCCTAAGGCGTTTCATTCATCAAAACACTGTTGGGCTTGTCTTGTTGTGGTTGTTATTATTATTATTATTATTATTACTACTATTGTTTTTTATTATATATTTTACGTTATCATCATCAGCATTAATATTTTTATATTAAAGTTTTTTTAATTATTGTTTTTTTTACTACTATTATTATTATATTTAATGTTGCAAATGATAATAATGATTATAACAACACCCTTATTATTATTATTTACTATAAGATTAATATATGCGTTTAATTACTTATCTTATCTCATACACATGAAGGCGTCATATTATAGCTACTCACACACACATCTATGGGTGCACTAAGGTTTGTCTCATGGAACGTACATGGGGCTTGCGCTAGAGAGAAGAGATTAAAAATTTTTGATCAGCTAAAGAGAGTGCAAGCAGACGTAATATTGTTACAAGAGACTCATAGATCTGCCACATCTGCAGATGAACTTAAAACACCTGAGTTTCCCAGCATGTTCTCTGCCTGCTATAACTCTAGGCAAAGAGGTGTAGCTATTTTAATACACAAAAACATAAAATTCACAGTATTGGACACAGTTTCTGATCCAGAGGGTAGATTTATAATGTTAAAAATATCTATACAGAACCAACGCTTATGTATCGTCAGCATATACTGTCCAAATATTGATGACCCTCCATTCTTTCATAATTTTTTCTCTGTACTCTCCGAACACTTGGACTGTCCACTTATACTTTGAGGTGATTTTAATTTTTGGATGAATTCCTTAACAGACTGGCTCAGTACAGCTGGGACTCAGCGCAATTGGCAATCCACTAACATAGTTAAACAGTACATGAGTGATTATGGGCTTTGTGATGCATGGCGATCTCTTCATCCTAACCGTAGAGAATATACTTTTTTTTCGCATGTCCATCACTCTCATTCATGTTTGGATTATTTTCTAGTCAGCAGCTCATTGTTGGCTGACATTTCAGACACTGAGATACACCCTATAGCTGTCAGCGACCATGCTCCGGTTTCTTTAACTCTGGTAAATAAAAGGACAATCCCACCAAGCAAAAACTGGAGGTTTAATACATCACTGCTTAAAGACGAAGGTTTTATAGAATTTTTTTAAAAAGGAGTGGGCTTTATATTTAGAACATAATGACCTGCCTGGAACATCAGCATCTATTCTTTGGGAGGCAGGAAAGGCAGTGATGAGAGGTAAAATAATCTCTTTCTCATCACATAAGAAAAAAACGGAAAACAAACGTATTCAGGAGTTAGAAGAAATCATCAAGTCTTTGGAGGCGTCCACAGAAGAAGAGTCAATGAGCAAATTACGTAAATCTAAATTAGAACTTCATGGAATTATTGACAAAAAGACACAATTTTTAGCACAAAGACTACGAATAGAAAACTTTGAACATAGTAATAAATCAGGTAAATTCTTAGCTAGCCAATTAAAAATAAATAAAGAGAAAACTACCATATCTGCTGTTAAAGACTCAACCGGGAATATAGTATATGATCCTGAAAGAATAAACAACACCTTCAGAGACTTTTACCAAACGTTGTACTCACCACAGATAAACCCATCAGATAATGAGATCAATGAGTTCCTTGACAGGATAACACTTCCTAAATTATCAGACAGCCAAGTTACAGTCCTGGTCTCGCCACTAACATCAGCGGAGCTCCAGGAAGCCCTTAAATCCATGACTAATAGGAAAGCTCCAGGTCCAGACGGGTTCCCAGTAGAATTCTACAAAGAATTCTGGATCATTCTGGCTCCAACATTTTTCAGAATGGTGAGGGAAATCGAAGAGAGCGGCAGATTACAACCAAACATGAATTCAGCCAATATTAGACTCTTGTTAAAACCAGGCAAAGACCCGGCATTTCCTACCAGCTATCGCCCAATTTCTCGTATTAATGTTGATCTCAAAATAATTTGTAAAGCCCTGGCCAAAAGATTAGAGAAGGTAACCCCCTTCATAATACATCCTGACCAAACTGGTTTCATTAAGGGTAGACAATCACTCACAAATTCACGCAGATTACTTAATTTGATAGATTTCTCTTACAGTAGAAACATAGAAACTAGTATATTATCTCTAGATGCAGAAAAAGCTTTTGATAGAGTTAACTGGAAGTTCTTATTTGCAACTTTACATAAATTTGGTTTTGGGAACTTCTTCATAAACTGGCTACAAACATTATACAGTTCACCAACAGCACGTGTCAGGACGAACGACCAAATATCAGCTAGCTTCTGTCTTCAGAGGGGGACCAGGCAGGGATGCCCACTCTCCCCCTCACTATTTTCTATCTTTATTGAACCACTAGCAGCAGCAATTAGGCAAACAACAGATATTAAAGGGATAAAGTGTAAGAAAATAGAACATAAGATCAGTCTTTATGCAGATGATGTTTTACTCTTTCTCCAGAATTCTCAATCCTCTCTCTCCCAAGCAATAGAACTGATAAACTCTTTTTCCAGAGTTTCAGATTACTCTATAAACTGGTTAAAATCCACAGTTCTACCAATTAATTTCTCATTTGTCAATTTGCTTAATACACAATTGGAGTCAGGGAATATCACATACCTGGGAATTAATATCTCTCCCAAGTTAGCAGATCTAACCAAACTAAATTACATCCCACTTTTAAGGAAAGTGGAAGATGATCTTGCTAGATGGAAATGCTTACCAATATCACTCATGGGGAGAGTTGCTACAATTAAAATGATGGTCTTACCCAGAATAAATTACCTATTCTCGATGATCCCAAACAAACCTCCAGCTGACTGGTTTAAATCTCTGGACTCCTCAATTACTAAATTCCTTTGGCAGGATAAACCCCCACGAATTAGCTTAAAAACGCTTCAGAAGACCAAAGACAGAGGAGGACTGGATTTACCCAACTTTTATTATTATTTCTTAGCCAACAGGCTGCAATATATACCAAGATGGTTGCAAGATAACCCATTAGACGAGTCCTGGTTAGATATAGAACAGACACTTTGCAATACGATAGAGCTTTCAGACTTACCATTTATTAGCCCAAGCATAAGAAAACATGAAAGCTTCAAAAGTATTAGTATCAGCACCTCTCTGACAGCATGGTGGGAGTATCTTAAAATGACAGAGTCTTCACTAGTACCATGCAGACGCACACCTATCTGGAACAATCCTGACATTTTGCAAAACAACAAAATGATGAACCTTCCGGACTGGAAAAATAAAGGAATCCTATACCTGGAACACATATGTGAAGGATTGGACTTCATTCCA